AGACATCAAGCAGACAGGCAGACAGACAGGCTATGAAAAGGGGATAAAACAGGCACACAAAGAAACACCAAACTCCCGTGTGAAGCTGAGGAGATGTCGGATCTCTCCCTCAGAGACACGATGTCTCCTCAAAGACACTTTTCATCTTAAACTGTATTTACTTCAAAACCTCCTCAGGATCAATAACCCCGCCCCCTCCATCCTCACCTCCTATCGTTGTAAATCTCTCCATATTTGCCTTCGACCCAGAAACAGAGACAGACACTGCTGATGTGACCCCCGGCAGGTGTTTCACACCTCCTCTCCTGCTTGTCTGGTAAATATATCCACCTCTCTGAGCAGACACTCCCCCCACAGCCCCCCCCCCCCCCCCCCTTCCCTCTCTGACAAACCCCCCGAGGGTGAGCCAGGCACCGTGAAACTCTCTTTTATGGCTTTCTCCACTGTGGATGTGTAACCTTTGCTTCGGCTCTGTACTGCTGCAGCTCATTGTGTTTTTCCACAAAATGTTTTTTTCTGGGGCTCAGCTCAGTTTGGATTCAGTCTGACAGCAGCGTACTGAGAAGTCGTACCAACACATTTGGTTCTGCTTCATTCTGAAATGAAGCTGGCAGGAATTTCTACACCACATTTACAGACACTCAGTCGTACAAGGTCAGTATCACTGTGATAGTAAAGCACTTGGACTGAAAGATACAAACTCAAAGTCTGAAGCCAGTCGAGTGCCCCCCTTAAGGTCATGATGCTCCTCTCCAGAATGTTTGGAGAGAAAAATTAAAAAACAAAACAAAACAGCATGGTCCTGCATATTCTTCGTTCACTCATGAGCAGATCGCAACAAGGTGTAGGTTAATGATTGTTAAGATATAATCCTCCAGTCAATCTGAACTGAGTTGAATACAGCAGAGAGGTGGGGCCTTGTTTATTCTTTATGAAATTTGCTCAGTAGTACATGAACCCAAAAAAGGTTCGACTTCCTGGGTATAAAATTACCCAGATGTTCCCTATCATGGGGCCCACAGGGCAGGTACACTAGAGACTTCTGCTGGTCAAGCGGCTAACTTCTGATTATCACTTCCCAAACTTAAAAGAGGATGAAATGATTTAATTATTCAGTGCTTCTGAACTTTTGAAATGTGTTCAGACTGTATGGATCAAATTCTGATAGTGAAATGAATCATCTCACAAGGATTGTGATGCTCAAAAAATATTATCTGGACATCTGTTTCAGAATGTAAGTCTATCAGTCACTATGTAAACTATGTAAAATCAGCTTCAAAGCCTGGCACACTTCCTAGGGGCTTGGTTAAAAAGCTAGTGACAAGGCCCTCCTCAAAGGGACAATAGGCTAACACTGGACTCCCAGGAACACAGCTCAGCCTTGCTTCTAATTTTTACCGATGGCCAATTGCAGTTTCTTATACTTGTAAAACTTTCCTAGAGCCGAGAAAAACGATTTAAAAATCTGTAATGTCATCAGAATGTAAAGCCTATGAGCCCAGTGGGAACTTGAGGAGGGGGGGCCGCAGTGGAAGAAACACCACTGCACATATTCAGTGGACCACATACTGCGGAAGTAACCCCAAAAGCTAAAACAGGTAAAGCACAGCAGATGAGGACTTTTTCTTTGTAGGGGAAGAATTGCTGTAATGAAAGTTTTTAGAGTTTGTCTTTATTGTTCTCAGTTGGAATCCTAAGGTGTTTCATGCTGTTTATGGCAAAGCAGAATATGATTCTACAGTTTGAAATAAATCTTTATTCTCAGCAGGAGCCCAAGAGGCAGACTGTCTCTGCCCAGTGTTTATAGGTAAAAAATAGAAATCTAATTTCACTCTCTCTGTGCTCTTAAGTGAAGATGCTCCTTTTTTCTTTGGGCTTTAGGAAGAAGGACTCTTGATTTATAGTCTTATGGAATCAATTTCACTTTCTGAAGGAAAGATTTACCAGTGGACTGAAGGGGGGAAAGAAAGTTGGTCTTTTCCAACTGCAGGAACTTTTCTAGGAACCCAGAAACCTCCAAATACCCCTTTTCCACCAAATTATTTCTGTTTCTTGAACCGGTTCCGTTCAGGGATTCTTGGTGGTATCCAGCGAACCAGGCCACGTTTCCACCAGTTTTGAGTAGAACCATTGTAATCAAGGATGCGTCACCAACAGAAGGTGTTGCACAGTGCACAATGAAAGTAAACAGTAGTAGAAAGGTGGCAGATTGCAGTGATTACTTGTGAGCTGTTATTTTCAAAGATATTTGTTTTTATCAAAAAAACAAGCATGGACCAACTATTAATAATAAGAAGATGTAGAGACTATTACATGCAGGACTCCATCTTCTTTTTCCAATCTGTAGAATATGACACACCCACTGATGTCATTATGGTTTGCACTTCTAGTCCATTTCTTGGTATCAGCGGGGATACGAGTTTTGCAGTTCCGAACCAATGTTTTGTTTTTTTTGTGTGTGTGTGTTGTTGTTTTTTTGTTTGTTTGTTTGTTTGTTTGTTTGTTTTTTGGGGGTTGAAATGCTCCCAACAGTTTAAATGAGGTGCACGACCTGGAACGGAACCAGTTCCATATTGGTGGAAAAGGGGTGAATGAGTCAAGTAAATTTTCCAACGGGGCTTGTCAACATCACATCTGACATTGTGTTCTTGTTTGCCAGTTAGGTTGCCTGAGTCAGGAGTGGAGGAAGAAGTAGCATGATGTTAGAGTGCCACAGAATCTCTTAAAGATGTTGTCTTGCTGAATGGATCTGTCATCTGTCTCATTGTATCTTCGCAGCGGCAACAGCCATGGCCGGATGCATTATGTTTTCAGGTTGTCCATCCATCCCATTCTTGTGAACACGCTATTGAGAGGGAATTTCTTCAAATTTGGTACAAATGCTCACTTTGGACTCAATGATGAACGGATTAGATTTTGGTGGCCAAAGGTCAAGGTCTCTGTGACCTTGCCTGTCTCACTCTTGTAAACATAATATCTCAAGAATGCCATCAGGGAATTTCCTCAAATTTGGCAGAAACATCCACTTGGACTCAAGGATGAACTGATTCGGATTTGGTGGTTAAAGGTCAAAGATCAAGGTTACTGTGACCTTGCATCTGTCCCAATCTTGCAAATGCGATATCTCAACAAGGCCTTTAGGGAATTTTCTCACATTTGACACAAACCTTCACTCAACAATGAATTACTATTTGGTAGTTGAGGGTCAAATGTCAAGGTTACTGTGACCTCACCAAAAACGTGTTTTTTTTTGTTTTGTTTTGGGGTTTTTTCCGCCATAACTCAAGAATTCATACACTAATTATGACAAAAATTCACACCAGTGTTTAATAAAATAAAATGATAAAGTGATGAAATTTGATATCCAAAAAGCTTTACTGAGACATTATGATGTTCTTCAAAAACACATTTCTGGTTATTATTCGACGTCATAAGTCAGGACCAGAAGGGGGAAACTTTGCTCGGATACTGAGCTGTGCTGAATGTATAGATCTTTTGTGCTGTCTGCTTTAAGATGTATACAAAGCATCCATGTTTAAGAATTTGTAGTTTCTTTGCAGCAACATCCATATGTGAAGCACTGTCTACTGTCATGGATACACGTGAGTTTGGACAGACATCAATGAAAACTATAACTTGACTGGCCTGCAGAGGCATACCATGGCTAGGCAGTAATTCTAGTTTTGACATCACTGTTTGTTTCCTGTTTCCTACCAACAGTCAACATTAGTTCTTGTTCTTAAACTTATTCAGACCTTAACCAAAGAGATGGCAGATCAGAAAACACTTTTAAGTTTCCCAAAAGAAATGAAAAACACCATATTTTGCCGTTATGTTTCGAAGACTTTTTTATGACAAGTGTTTTATGTTATCTTTTATGTTGGGCTTATGGACAATGGATGGTGTTCTGTTGGTGAAGTTGTCCTTTCTTTGACAGGTTAGAAGTCAATGTCCATGCTGTGAAGACTTTTGAAGTAAAAGGCAGTTTAAATCCTACTGTTTCATGCATGTTCTCTGGTGTGATAGGCTGCTTTCGAGGCTGTTCCAGGTGTTTCGTTTCGCGGGGAGTAGAATGATATATATTGATCAGGAAGTGATGAAGGACAGTGCAGGAAAAGAGGGAGGGGATTGTGGGTAGCAAAAGCCTGAGGATGTGTTCAGACATCACAAGGCTGAACAGGGAATCAGAGAGAAAAAAAAAACTAGACATCCCTCTTTTGTCTCCTATTTTTCCTTGTAGTTATTGTTTCTCTTCCACTCTCTGTCTCGCTTTGTAAAGAGGCATCTTTGAATTTCACTTCCTGAATTGTATTTGTTACTCGGACAGAAAGCAGCTGAATGTATTTATTGATTTATTTCCTTGTTCATTCATTTGTTTGTTCTGTTGCTTGGTTGTTTGTTCTCCTCTGTGTCTCGTCAATTTGTTTTCTTGTGGATATTTGGCCATGTTATCCTTTGTTTTTATTTTTGTTCTAGTTATTTAGTGAAAGCATGAATGGAATTATGGACATTTTGACAAATGTATCATGTCATGTATAAATTGATTAGTTGAATGGATGATAGAATAGATGAATGGATTCTAAATGAACAATGTGAATTGGAACAGGATGGATGGATGGAGGTTCAGGCCTCAGATATGTTTCCTGTTCAATAGTTCAATAGTATGTGTTATATAGCAGTCAGTGTTCACATGGACTTCAACTGAAATAGCAGTTTTCTAGAAACAAGTCTTAAATATTGTAAATATGATCTAAATATATACGGACAGTGACCAGAGAGTGACCAAATGACCCAGGAATAAATAGTCCCAGTTTTTGGGCAGGTGACGCTCAATTGTAACAACTGGGAATTTGAAATCAAGGGTTTTAATTAAAAAAAAAAAAAATAAAGACCAAAAGAAAGATGATTGATTATGTTCACACATTCTGTTTCTAAAATCATTGATTACACTTACAAGTTTTGTGTCTAAAATCATCAATACTTTTTTTTTTCTTACCAAGGTGCAAGCCTTCCGAAGCCCCAGGTAAAGACGGCCTCTCTGGGTCAGGCTGGTAAGGCTCGATCCCCTCTGCTGCCTGTCTCAGTCCCTACAGCGCCAGACTTACCAGAAGAGGGAGGAACAAAACCCACAGAGGATTCAGCTGCCAGTGTAAGTCTGCATGGAGAGCATGTTGTTGTTGGAATTGTTGTTGATTTAGTTTTACACCACAGGTACATCACAAGGACCAAGTCAGACATTACACTGTTAAATTCGGTTTTACATGTAATGTATATTTCAGTTTGTAGAGGTTTCCAAAATTGAAGCAAACAAAATATAACTTGCCAAAGCTTGTTTAAAGGATGCCTAATATTTCTTTTACATAGCTTAAAATCTAACATTATTTTTAGGATCACAGTTTAAAATTCACTGATTTCGATTTTCTTCCTTGTGTGTTCTTGTGTATTTACTGTGTGATACATTTGTAGAAGCAAAATGATTCAGAGCACATCATGTTTGTTAAAGATTGTTTTCCTTCTACTGTAGCTGTTGCCATGGAAAACACAGAACAGAAACAGCTGTTACAACTAATTGGTTTTATCAGTTGTCTTTGAGCTTTTGTTGTATTAACAACAGACCAGATGCTCTCAAGGTTCTCTACTCATATAAATGTTAAAATGTTCCACAGAAACCCTCTTATAATCCATCAGGGCTTCCTCAGTAATATGCAGAGTGCGTACAAACTTCACATGGCCCCTAAAAATGGGGTCATTGCTGTCAATTTGGAGGAACTCAAATCAATGTTCAGGAGGCATTAGAGCAAAGATGGATACATAGCTCCTTTGTGTTAAAGGTCTTTCCTGGCATTTTTTAGTTTTTATATACATATTTTTCACTGAAATTTTTCATATCTGTGATCCACAAACATGACTTTTATTTTCCATTTTAGACTCTCTGGAGGATTAACTACTGCAAACCTGAATATTTTAGATACTAATTAATTCACCAATTAAAAGGCAATAGCAGTAGTCATAACTGCAGTAAAAGAAATAGAATTTGCAGTTGTATTAATAGTAGTATAGTACTAGCAGCTGCTGGAGCAGTAATAATTCAGTGAGCCAGTCCACACTGAATGGATATAGATGTATGGTGTTGATATTTGCTGTCCAGGCTCTGACCTCGTCTTTTCCCAAGAGGAAACACCAAGCTCAGCACAGCAGGAAGTAGAAGGTGATGATAATAACTTTGCCTCTAGGGGGATGTTGAGTCAGAGTCTGCGGCTGGATGCTGATGGCGGTGGGGCTTTTGATATGCTGTATGAACAGCAACAGCAGCAGCAGAAAGTGATGACATAGCTTTCAGATGAGTGCTGTGGTAGCTAGGCTTGGGCGATTGGACGAATATATCGCCAGTCGCCCATCAGCTGAGTCCATCACGGTTGGTTTCATTTTTGGCGATTTTTTGGGCGATTTTTGTCATTTTATTTTGCTAAATTAATGGTCTGTCTCCACAGAATTAAACTCGGTACATATAGTCCATAATAACTATGTAGAACAAAACACGTCAGTGATGGCGGAGCTGAAAGTTACAGCAGGGGTCCACCGGCAACGGGAGCGGCGCGACAAGTCTGCAGCGCGAGTCCCGTAGCAGCTCGCCCCCCCCCCATTCATTTTTAAATGAATAAACCATTATCAGAGGTGATATGGGATGTTTTTTTTCATGCATTTACCCATGTTTATCCGTGACATTGTGTAAATGTCCGTGGCGGACGTTTGAAAGCGAGTAGATGACAAACAGTACAGTAAACTTGTAGATTACTCAAATATATGTAATAACTTAGGTGGAAAATGCTTTATCATGGCTCAGCAAACGGTAAACAAGATGCTTGACGTGACGCTTATGTTTGCAGCCGGTGGAACCTGGCCGTAACGTGAATTCATATGCGCATATGGTTAACAATGTTACCAGCCGTGCTAAACACCCTCTCTGATGCCGTGCTTGTTGCCGGTATGCACAGATATTTCCATGCCATGTTGGACATGAGTGGGCTCGCAAAGCACGCTGCATTTTTTTGCCGCATTCATGTGGTGTCGGGAGATCCAAGTTGCCAAGTTGTTTTTCTGACATGAGGTGGCGTTAATGTGAATTATCCCATTCTGAAAGTCATTTTTCGATTCTTTCCAACATCACATGAATGCAACATCCCCCCTCTTTTTTTTTTCTCTGCCACACACACAACTGCCGAATATATCGGCAACCGCCGGTTGATGGGCTGACGGTGGCCGGTTGGAAATTTTTAACATATC